ATACAAAGGCTGCAGACATTTATTCATTCGGAATGGTTATGTGCGAAGTATTTTCTGGCGCTTCTCCTTTTAGCAATATTGATTGTAAAAATGAGGAAGAAGGCAAAATCCTTGAAATTGAAATCTGTAACGGGAAGCGACTAGAAATTCAAGATCTGCCCCCTTTAATAGCTGAATTGATAAAAAAATGTTGGGATGCCGATCTAACAAGACGACCATCCGCAAAAAACTTGTGTAAAACTTTAAATACTTGAAAATTTTTGCATACGATTCCGAACTTAACAAACAAATTAATACAAGTGAAGAGAATCAGACGCGTCAACCACTTGGTTGTACAATTGAACAAATTCATACAAGTCATCTTCGTACATGCAAACTTCTTGATTTTAAAAACCTGCGAAAAGGTATGCGCTCAGTCCCTTCGTCCATGAACAGCCTAAAAATTCCGAAATTGAGATGAATTTGACAACTCAAGAGCAAAGTCTTAAAAGTGACTTTTGATTTCATTTACGCCGAGAAATTAATGCTCAAGGTAAATAAAACATATCATAATAGAATTTTTTAATTATTTTAATTATTTTTTTTTATACTTATTCATATTATGTTACTTATTCTTATTACTGTAATTCTTTTCCTTTTTTTCTTTTAACATGATAGTTGATATTCCATGTTTAATTTCAATTTTAACAGAAGAGGTTTCGACTCTATTGAAAAATATTTTAATTAATTACAATTATAAAACAATAAAACAATACTTTATTTTATAACTTACTCGCTTGGGAGCTCAACATCTGCTTTAAATAATCCGGTTGGTAAAAAGTTTATTATTTCTCTTCCAGAAATTATCCTTTCACCGAGATTATATTTAATAGCAAATGATCTGTCATCAACAGATGAAATTACAAGATCCGACTTATTCACAATACCAGGTGTATGCAAAATTATAATGTATGTATTGCTTTATGATAGAATAGAAAAAATAAATGTTATTTCTAGATTATTAAATAATATAAAGTTAAATAGTAGTCAAAAAATACATACTCATTTTTAAAGAGTCCATAGGCTGCACGTGAATATTTGAGGATTTTAGATTTATTAATTTCCTTTTCATCATCATCACTAATTTCGATTATTTCAATAGCCTTCCGTTTTCCTTTTACATTTTTTCTTTCATTATTAGTTCCACAATTAGTCTCGTCCTAAATATACGAAATAGTTTATTATATTATTTAAACTATAATATAAATTTAATTTATAAATAAAATTTACCAAATTATACTCGACTTTACGACTGGTATTAAAATATGTCGCCGCAAAAAACCGCATTGGACCTTTTTCATCTCCGTAATAGTAATCCTTCTCTTTGACATCATGGAAAAATATCGCTGCTTGTTTTCGTGACTCGAAATGGACAAATCCGAAGCTAAAAAATTTATTCGTTAATAATTTAATAATAAATATAAATATTATAAACTATAATTATTTATGATTTACCCTTTATCTTTTTTTTTTACCACGTGAACAAAATTAAATGTTGTTGCATTTTTAATTCGTTCTGATACTTCTTCATAATCTAGACCGTTTATATCCCCACCAATCATTACAGAAAGCTCCGGCTCTCCACAGCATGCTATAATATATAAAAAAATTAAATTAATAAAAAAACGCTCTTTCACAAGAAAGAAGAATAATATGCTTTTACGAAGAAAAAGTAATACATTCATATAAAAAATTATCAATATCAAATTTCTTTATTATAAAACATAAAATACTTATAAAACTTACCTCTTTTAATATTTTTAACTATTTCCATTGTTAACGCGTAAAAAAATAAAATTAAAAAAAACAGTGACACGTCATTTATAGTTACCAACGATCATGTGTATTTGTTAGTCAATTAAAGTTATTACATAATATACAAAATAACCAAATAAATAGAACTTAATAAATCATATAATTAATAGAAGGATAAATAAACTATGTTCTATATTTATGCTTCGGATATACAATGGTTTCCGTTTAATAAAAAAATCGCGAAATTATTTTAAATAATAAAATAATTGTAATGCAATTTTAGAATTTACTAAATATTTCATATATAATTTATTATTAATAAAAATATTTAATAATAAAAAAAATCCAAATTATAATTCAAAAATGTTGTTTATATGTCACTTATCATATCTTAAACATCAGAATCATCTTTTTCTAAACTTTCAATATTCTCATCCATAATATTGTCAATATAAAATATAAATAAAATTTCTAATAATACTATTTTGATATTAAGTTAATATTGAATTTATTAGAAATTTAATAAAATGAATTACAATTTATATATTAAATTTATACTATTTTGATATCAATTTAAAATCTTAAATATGAATTTATTATAATAGTTACTATATATAGTAAACAAGATATATTAATAAAATTAAACTATTGTAGAATATAAATATTATAGTAATTATTAATATTTAATATAAAAACATTATTTAAATATTTTAAAAAATTTTTTCTATAAATATAATTAATTAATTAGTTTTCAATACATGTTATATTTAATTAATTGAAAAAAATCAATATCAAATTTAGTTAGACTGCATAAAGATAAAACTTCTAATCTTTCTAATAATTTTAAGCTAAAAATAGATTAAAGCAAGAAAGATTGTATGAGAAAAATGCTTCTAGTTTAACTTCTGTAATAAGTTCACAAATTTTTCTAATATGACAAACTCTATAACACTACTAAAAAATGATTGATTTTAAATTAATTTATTTCAATCTGAAGTTTTTAGATTTATTCCATTATAATATTTCATGAAACTTAAATATATATCTAAAGAATAAAATATTAGTTACAGATAATAACAATTTAGACAAAAATAATTAAACTGAATAAGTTTAATAAGGGTCTTAAAGATTAAATCAAAATTCAAACAAGAACATTAGTTTTATAAATAATAAAACAATAATATTATATTATACTAATAATATATTCTGAGAATTAGTGATAATAATAACTGAAATATTAGAACTTATCTCTATAATAATATTTTATATAACCCTTTTTTAGTAAGCAATCAAAAAATATAATTGAATTAATAAAAGAATAAGTTTAAACTAGTAATAAAATTTCCTTTTCCTATATAAGTTTACTTGGATATAAATTTATTTATAAGATGTAAGTTAATTAACTAGAATAGTTGGATTGGTTTAAAGAATATTAATAATATTAAAAATAATATTCACTAGATAGCATTAATTTATATCTAAAATAGCAATAGTCTAACTTGTAAAAATATTTGATATAATAATATAATATTAATTATTAATAATACCTTTTATCTAATACTTTTGATCCAATAAAATAATAATAATAAAATAATAATTTTTATAAATATTAAAAGTTTTTAATTTATTATTTTTAATATTATACTTATTGTATTCTTTCAGTTATAAGTACTTCCCAGTTATAAGCATCTCTATAATTTTTTAAAAAAAAATACAAAAATTAACATATCTCGGTATCTAATAATTGGATTTTAATAAAAATTATACTATTAGATTTCTTTCAATGAGAGCTTTTTAATGGTATATTTTTTATCCAAATCAGATCGATATTGATCAAATTATTAAAAAAAATAATTTCTTTCAATTATAAGCACCCCTACAAAAATAAATCTAATATAAATTCCTAAAAAGGGATGCTTATAACCGGGAGAATATGGTATATTTAAATTTAACAATATATTTAAGTTTTTATTATTTATATTTATAAAATTTAAATAATATATTATATTAAACTTAAAGAAATTAATTTAATAATACAAGAAAATAACAAATATAAATAAACAATTTTTTAATATATTTTATAATTTTTTTATTATATTTAAAATTACTTAATTTAATTGTTAAATAAAATTTATAAAAAATTTTTTAAATATTTATTTGTTTAAAATATATCTTATAATTTATTATATAAATAAATAAATAAATTTTTTTTTGTTTTTTTTATAGAAAATTCTTATTATAATTTTAATAATTTTAATAAAATTAATTATATCTATCTTTTTTTTTTAAAAAAAAAAAAGATTGAATAGCATTAGATACAAATTTATTAATATATAATTTTTTCATTATATCAAATATTCTTTATAATATATGATTATAATTAAATATTAACTTATTAACTTTTATTTAATACCTAAAAACTCATTACTTAATAATTTATTTAGTTTTTCTAGTAGATAAACATTATTTCTTTATTTGTTTGTATATTTAAAATGTATACATTATAAAAGAAACAATATCTTTTATATGCAATAGCAGCAAGTTTAATGTTAGCTTACCTATACTATCTATATCTAGCTAATATTAAAAAAAGACTTTAAAACAATACTATATACTAAATATAACTGAGAGTAGTAATTATGCTTACTTACTTAGAAAATTTGATAAGAAAAATATAAGAATAAAAGTAAAAGAAAAAAAGAAAAAATATAACTGGAGTTATAATCACATAAGTTACTTGTAAAAATGGGTTCCTAAATTAAAGGTGAGGACATAATTCAAATGTTTTTCACTATTAAAAAAGTTTTTTTTTAAATATAAGAACAAAAAAAAACTACCTACAAAGGTTTTTTGCAATTTAGGCCACTTAATTCAAGTGTTTTTTAAATTTTGTTCCTATTAAAATAATAAATAAATAATTACATATGTTCCTTCAAAAGGAATATAATTGATTAGTGAAATTTTATATGTTAAATAGTTTAGGGATCCATCTTTAGCTACTTGTATTAAAACTATATCGATTAAACTATAAAATTTATATAAACAAAAAGAATATCTAAAAGAGAATCAATAGTTTGGCCCTTGCACCAGCATTGGGCTTAGAGATATATTTCTTATTGATATAGATAGTAGAATATGTGATATTATTGTTATTATTGTTATTGTACTAAAAAACTAATTTAAATTATTCAGTTTTTGCTTTGTTATTTTGACAAAATCTGATTGGATAATTGGAAAGTGATAATTATTTGGAAAGGGTAAACTGATTTCAGTTTTTTAGACAAAAAGTTTTGAAAATTTTGAATTGGCACAGTAAGTGTCACCATGATAAAGTTGTGTATAAAAGTTGTATTAAAATAAACAGTAAATTCAATAACTTTGTTTGAATATATTTTTTGGAAAGTATTTGACTTAGCATATATAATAGTATTGATGTAAATAGTTTTTATATTATAATAAATGAAAAGAGAGATACAAGAAAACAAAAGAAAAGAAAATTGCTACAAGCCTTTCCTCATGTAACTGAAGGATAAACAAGATTCCTAGATTTCTATCAGAGGTCCCATCCCACTGCACCAGTTGTCTTGAAGGTTCTTAAGTTTCTAAACTGAGATTCACTTGCAATAAAAAGTATAAACTATTTTTTCTTGATATAAATTATCATAAAAAAATTTTTTTAATAAAGTAAATATGATCAGGAAAGAGTTTTTTTTAATAATTACTTAATAACTTTTTCTTATAATACCAGAATATTATATAAGTAGAAATTCTATTACTAGTTTAAACTATTTAATTTATAGAGTTTATCTTATATTTTATAACATATATTATTAATTAACTATATATAAGTTACCTATTATATTATATCTTTTTGCTTATACAGTATATACAATAGTGAATATCTTGGATGCAAGTATATACTTCCTAATAAATATTTCAGTTTTGACTACTAATTGATATTAACTACCAAATCTAGAAACTCAATAATTAAGTAGGATATAACTTCTTATGGATTTAATCTATTTATCTATATTTTTTTTAAATGTAAACAAATTGATACTTCTTAACTTCTAGTAGATACTTCAGATTTAAATTAGTTAGTATAAACTGTCAAATTTAGGAATATAAAAATATCAAACAGGACACAACTCCTATATACTCTATTTCACTATATAATTGTTATATCTTTATATAAGTGATATTGATTCAATACTCTACTTCAAGATTTCTTATTTTTGATAATTATTAGAAGAAGAAAATGATAATTAGAATTGTTTTAAAATAAAATCCAGTTTAGTTTATATATCCAAATATAATATTGTTTTTGTTATATAACAAATTATAAGATTTAATTAGAATTAAACCAAAAGTTTTTCTTTATATAATTTATTCTTTTTTTGTAATCTATTGTAGTCTTATAACTATAGAAAAGATCAGAAGTTTTACCTTTATATAATCTAATTAAAAAAAAAAATATGATAAATTTTTATAATCAGATAGGTTTAAACTTTAAACCTTTACCTGATAACTTATGAAACTTTATTACTAAATTATAAGTTTATAAATCCAATTATATCTATTTTTTTATTTATAATTCTATATTTTTTATTATAGTTTTTATATTTATATTTTTCAATTAAAATTTTTATTTATTTGATTTTTTTTTATAATTTTTATAATAAATTTTCTACAAAATTCATATAATAATTATAATATAACTTATTTTTTTTTTTTATGTTTAACC